TCGTCACCTACCCCGTCCCCGGCAACGACGACTCGCCGCCGGCCGTCCACCTCTACTGCAGGCTCTTCCGGACGGCCATCACCCGGGCCAAGGAGAAGCGGCGGCAAGTGGAGGCCCTGTACCGCCTGCAGGGCCAGAAGGAGCCCGGAGCCCAGGGCCCAGCCCACCCCCCCCGGGGCCGACGTGAGCCGCCCCTGTGACATCCACCCTCCTCCTCTGTAAGCAAACGGCGGTCCAGCCTGTCCGAGCTGAGCCCCTTCCCCAGCCCTGGGTCAGCAGCATCCTTGGTCCTTCCTGTGACTTACTCAGATGATGTGACGGCGCAGACCTCCGCCGTTCCACCTCAGAACCAGGGCTGAGCAGACGACCTTGCATCTGCATTTCCTTTGTGGGAAACGGAGCACAGAGGGTGAACAGCGTGTGCCAGGTGGCCCCTTGGCTGCAGTTAGGACTGGAGCCTGATGCCTCGATGGCTGGGGCGGTCAGCCTGCTGGAAGACATGGCTGTCCCTGTGACCCGAGCAGCCCTCCCTCACCCTGACCCCTGACCTTTGTCAGGAAGGTGTGGTTTTTCTTCTCAGTCTAAAAGCCTTTCAGGTGGGCTGTTTTCTTGTCTGCCTGGTTCCGGGGGGCTGTTTTGGAATGAGATGCTGTAGGCGGCAAGCTCCCAGCTGGGTTGGTGAGACAGCAGGCCAAACAGATGACCTGATTCCAGCAAAAATAAAACTCAGATTTGGGCACAACGAGTCTTGGAGCTTGGGGTTCCGCCTGGAGTGGTGTGCTTTCATCCATGTGGTGTGGCTTCTCAGGCACGCACCGGGGCCCCAGTGATGGGAGATGGGACGGGCACTGTGTGTGAGGGGCATTAGTGAGGTCAACGGAGGTGCCAGTGGCCACTGGAGGGCGCTGTCTTCCGCAGTGGAGCTCCTGACAAGCCCACAGCCCGGCCAGCCTCATTGATCGGACCAGGCTTGGTGTGGACCCAGCTTCAGGAAAGACAGGCACTTGCTGACAGGGATGCTTAACACCCCTCCCCCCCCCGTAGGGACACAGCTGTGTTCCTGGGATGAGCTGCGCCCACCCCTCTCAGCCCCGTCCCCAGCTGCCTGGACGTAAGCTGTGCATGCACCTGGCCACCCCGAGGAGCTGTCTCTGGGCAGAGTCAGGTCTGGCGCCCAGGTAGGGCGAGGCCTTCCCTGAGGAGAAGCTCAGGGCAGTGGAGGCTGGGGTCCAGTGTCCTTCCCTACCCCTTCAGGGTTAGGCTGGCGAGGGGTTCATGGTGGGAGTCCCCGGGGGTGTCACAGTTTTGTGATGTGGCAGGACAGGGAGCTGAGCTTCAGGTTGTTCTCTGGCCAGCATGGCTTTCATTTGCAAACCCAGAGTCTGGAGATGCAGGTGTATAAAGGTAGGTGAAGTGAGAGCTCCTTCACGGCCCCCCAGAATCCCTCCCCAGTGTGTAGGTGAGATCGCCTGAGCTGGGCCTCCTGCCCCACGGAGCTGGTGAGTCAGCTGCGGGGAGCCAGGCCCATGGAGATGAGGCAGCAGTATGAAACACTGGCCACTGACAGGGTGGGGGGCTTCCAGGAGGTGCTTCTGGAGATGGGACTGGGCCCCCCCAGGGGAGGCATTTGTAGCGGGGATCCAGGTCGGCCCCTAGTAGCTAGCCTGGCAAGGCCCTTCCTCGCAGAGCCATTAGGGAGGGGCCTGCAGGTCACCCCAGGGTTTGGACCTCAGGAGACAGTGGGGCACAAACACAGGAGGGGTGGGGGCAGTCTCTTTTCTGGTCTTTAAGTTTGAGGCCGGATGGAGGGCAGCGGCCCAGGGAGAACGGTGGCTAATCCTAAGAGCCTTGGGAGAGTGGTGGGGGTGGGCTGGGCCGGGCAGCCTCCCTGGGTCCCCACCTGTCTCACTTACCTTGCGCCTGTGGCCTGTCTGGCTCCTGCTGTCCTCCTCCTGCTGGCCCCTGTACCAGGCACAGGCCGGCGAGGACCCGCCGAGGAGCTGTGAGTGGGCGCTTGCTGAGTTCCAGGGCAGGAGGGGCCCTGGCCGAGGGGAAGACCCAGTGGATAAGCGGGCACCAGTGACCATGAGGAGCAGGGAGGGACAGGCAGGGAGCAGCGCAGAGGCCGTGGGGGCCATGTTGGGACAGGCAGGGCGGGCTTGAAGGTCGCCTCCGGAATGGAGAGAGCCAGTTCCCGGGATTCAGAGGGGCTCTGGGTGAAACAAGGTTGAGGGCTGAGGGGGGATGGGTCTCACCCCATCCTCGACTCTGCCAGGAGGGGCCCTCCAGGTTTTCTACCCTGGAGATGAACCCCAGGAGCCCCAAGAAGAGGCCAAAGGAGATGGTGAGAGTGTCAGGCTGAGGGGGTGGGCAGGGGAGCTGTCCTGGGAGTGGGGAGAAGGGTCCCCAGCCCTTTATTCCCATGGCCACGGTGCCTGCAGGCCCATTAGAGGTGGCCTTCTCAGGACTATGGCAGGGCTGTGCCTGGACCAGCTGGTATCCCAGACGATGGGGAAGACCAGATGCAGCCACCAGAGGACAGGCCTGGTGGAGCCTGCTCAGGGCAGCGTGGGTGGGGAGAGCCAGGGAGCCCTTCTAGCCCTGCGGAGGCTGGGCCACTCCCACCACTGACATCTGGAGGACCCCCATTTGCCTGGAGGAGCTCAGGGCAGCCCCGCCGTCAGCACAGGCCAGGCTTCCACTCTGATCGCTCGCACTGCTCCCCGGGTGTGTTGGAGGGGACCGTAGGGGAGGGCCTGCCCTGGGCAGGAGCAGGGTGTTGGGGCAGGAGTCTGGGGGCCCATGAGGATCCAGGCCAGCTGGGTGGGACGGGCACTCTGGGTGATGTCCTCTGCTGACATGGGCCCTAACCCTCGAAATGGATCTCGTGTCATCCTGGCTGGAGGTCTGTGCAGACAGGCTCTGTGCCTGATCCGGGGAGCGGAAGGTCAGGTGGGCAGAAGTGACGAGGGCCAGGCCCAGCTCTCATGTTCCTGGGTCTCTGTCTCTGCAGAGCTCCACGCAGGAGACTGGCCAGGAGTGGGCTGATGGGGTGACCCCCACTCTCTCCCAAATGAGGGACGAGAGCCTCACCACCAACAAGGGCCAGCACTGGCTGGGGTTGCAAGGGTGCAGGGGAGGTCTCCACAGCCAGGGCCCCTGGGCGGTGGGGAAGGCCTCCCACCCAAATGCCCCCAGGTGGCTCCCAGCGCCCTCCCAGGACTCTGCCTCTCCAGAGGCCCCCAGTCCCAATCCCAGGGCCCCAGGCCTCCTCCCACCCTCACCCCACCCCATCCCACCCCAGCTTGGCCGGATGCAGAGTGACTTTTCACGTTGGTATAGGAATAGCCAGGAAAATTCTTCTGGACTTCTCCGGTTCACATTATGGCAACGAGCGATCGGATTTTGTTCCTGTTCATAAGTTTGGGCCATCCGTCCTCCCTTGAGTCAGCCCTGCAGGGTAGGAGCCCTCACACAGGCTCCGTGGAGAAGCCAGAGCATTTCCTCAGGGCAGGGCAGTGCCCCTTCCTCGTTCCCTTCCTGTGCACCATGGAAGATTTGCCCCCACCCCAGAGATGCTGGACCTGCTGTCCCACAGGTGAGCACATCCCGCTCCGCTGCACGGGGCTCCTGGCTCCCACACCCACCAGCTGTGGCTCTTGGCAATGCCACCTCACCCCTGAGCCTCAGCTGGTTTGTGTGGGAACTAGGAGCTAAGAGGACCTCGTGAGGTCGCTGTCAAGCCTGGGTGGGACGGGCCGTGGAAAGCCCTCTGCTCACGCCTGGCCCTGGGGAAAGAGAAGGAACTATTGCTTCCTTTGGCCTACAGAAGGTGTGGCTGTTGAGCTGAGCCTTGGAAGTTTCTGGCTTTGCCAGGTTCCCCGTCTGGCAGTGCCAGGGTCTTCGAGCCAGCCACCGGCTTCACTTCCTCAAACAACAGCCGAGCCAGGGGGCCAGCGTGCACGCAGGTGTTGATGTTGGCTTCCGCAGGTGCAGTGAGCCGCATAATGCTTTGGGGTGAGGACTTAAACATTTTGAGACAGGCACGGCTTGGCTCTGTGTTAAAGGTCAGCTGTTTCAAAGACACGTCCTGTTGCTTTGCCAAGGGGCCTCGTTCCCTGTGGCTGGAATCAGCAGCAGTGCTGCTCTGACCTGGGCGGTGGCCAGGATGGCAGTGGCCGTCCCAAGCCCCCACACCTCCCTGACCTCTCGCTGCCCAGCACACCCCTCTCCAGGGACGCTCACACCAGCCGTCACTCCCCCTCCCGGTGCCCACAGCCCCTGCCTCTCTGCTGTGCCCTGTCCACAGCACGGCTGGCTCACACACATGGCGTCCACGTTGGGCACCAGGCTTCACCTTGTGCTGCTGAGCCCACCTGGCCCTTCGTGTCCACGTGGAGTCCAGGCGTGGGGCAGGCTTCCATGACGGTGTGAAGGACTGGGCACTTCCTGCCTCTCTCCTCAAGGTCGCCAGGGCTGGCTCATCCCAACTGGGGCCCCTGCTTCGGGACTCAGATGCCCTCTGTCTTTCTTCTCTGGGCTCCCCATTCCAGAGCAATCACAGACCAGAGGGATGGGGCCCTGTTAGATCAGTCAGACGCACCCTGGAGCCGGGAGGGCGGTCACCGTCCATGAGGATGGCAGTGTGTGGGGGATGTCGGTGTGTGGGGGGATGTCAGTGTGTGGGGGGATGCCGGTGTGTGGGGGGATGTCAGTGTGTGGGGGGACGCCGGTGTGTGGACGGACGCCGGTGTGTGTGGGATGTCGGTGTGTGGGGGGATGCCGGTCTGTGTGGGATGTCGGTGTGTGGGGGATGCCGGTGTGTGGGGGGATGCCGGTGTGTGGGGGGATGTCGGTGTGTGGGGGATGCCAGTGTGTGGTGTGGGGGGATGCCGGTGTGTGGTGTGAGGGGATGCCGGTGTGTGGGGGGATGCCGGTGTGTGGGGGGATACCGGTGTGTGGGGGATGTCGGTGTGTGGGGGATACTGGTGTTTGGGGGGATGCCGGTATGTTGGGGGAATGCCTTCCTCTCCCATGGAAGGGTCAGGACGGTAACAGCTCCCTTGCAGGAGTGTAAGGCTGGTACAGTCTTTGCTACATCTCTGAGCCCTTTCACCAAAAAGGACTCACCGAATGGAACAGCTGCACAGAACATTAGCATCCACCCCCACCCCAGAGAGGGGCTTCCTGATGCTCCCCTAGGGGAGGGCAGGTGCGCAGGTGGGAGGATGGGGAACATGGCCTCCCTCCATGTGGCTCTTGGTTTGAAGGCCTCACCTTGGACATCTCCAGCCTCCAGCTGCCTTAGTGGTGGGTGGTGTCTGGAGCCAGGAAACCTGGCTCTGCCTGGCTGGGCCTACTTCCCAGGAGGTCACCTGGACAGGGTCATGCCACCCCCCTCAGTGGCACCTGGCTTGGGGCTCCCTCCCTCCCCACTCCTCTTCCTTCTCCTTACTTCTGGAGTCTTCCAGGAAAGTGCTGATCCCAGAGTAAGATTTGAGGGGCAGTTACCACATTGGCCTCAAGCCCCCTGTGCACCCCTTCCCCAGCTGCAGAGTGAGGACATCCGGTCCTCCAGGAAGAAGAGCTGCGCTGGGAGCTTCGGGTGTTCCCCGAGTCATGGGGCTCTTCCACCGGCTGGCTCATAGACCCCACGCTGGCCATGCTGCAGAGGCCTGCTAGGCTCCCAGACGATGGTGACTCCACTCTCAGGACCAGCCCTCTAGAATTGGGGGTTTAGAGCCCATGAGGGGCTCCACAAATGGGGAAGCATGTGGGGAAGACCATGTCCACAGCATCACCTTGGCAGCTGATGGGCAAGATGACAGGTCCAGGCAGCCTCCAGGCACGTTCCTGTTTGTGTGACATTCACCATGACAGGGGGCAGGCCGTGGCACAAAGTGTCCTGTGTTCAGATAAGCCAGGGCCTTGGAGGAACTCAGGCAGAAGGAAGAGCCGGAACACAAATTCATCGCAACCTTTCCCAGGAGGCAGCCCCTCCACTAATGTGCCCTGGGCCCTCCTGTCACACCCTGGAACCCCTGCCACGCCCTGGGTCCCCTGCCACACCCTGGCCCTCCTGTCACACCCTGGACCCCCTGCCACACCCTGGCCCCCCTGCCACGCCCTGACCCCCTGCCACGCCCTGGCCCCCTGCCACGCCCTGACCCCCCTGCCACGCCCTGGTCCCCCTGCCACGCCCTGGCCCCCCTGCCACACCCTGGCCCCCTGCCACGCCCTGGCCCCTCTGCCACGCCCTGGCCCCCCTGCCACGCCCTGATCCCCCTGCCATGCCCTGATCCCCCTGCCACACCCTGGCCCCCCTGCCACACCCTGGCCCCCCTGCCACGCCCTGGGCCCCCTGCCATGCCCTGGCCCCCCTGCCACGCCCTAGGCCCCCTGCCATGCCCTGGGCCCCATGGCCAAAAGTGCAGATCCCCTCATTTCCACTACTCACCACTCCACTCAGGCTGGCTAAGCCCCGAGAGACTCTGCTGAGCCCAGACCGGAGGGTGAGGGAGCCTGGGTGACCAGAGGAGCTATCGGGATGACCAGGCTTCTTCAGGACAGGCACCCACCTGTGACAGGCACCTGCTGCGGCTGCTCTGGCCCAAGATGCCCGGGAGGCCAGATGGTCAGGGCCCCTTCCTCCCCCAGGAGGTGGGACTGGGCTGGGCTTTGAAGGATGGCAGCGGCCGGGTGGACACAGGCACGGACAGGGAAGGCCATGCAGGCCTAAAACACACAGACTCAGGCGGGCAGGAACTTCAAGGTCAAATCCCGGAGCCCTCGTAGGGGGGACTCAGGAAATCAGATGCTCAGTGGGGGGCAGAGTTTGGAGCCTCAGCCCTGGGCAGGACATGCCGTGTCCGGCAGAGGGGCTGCTGCCCACCATGGCTGGCCTTGCCCTTGGCATTGGTTCTGGGGACGTGCAGGCAAGATGCCTCAAAACCCCTGGGAGTCCTTCCTGAGGCTTCCTTCAGTTGCAGGCGGGTGACGTGTCTGTGTCACTGGATCCACGTGAGATGCTCTGTTAGAAAATAGAGGAAGGAAACAGTTCCAACTCAAGAGTGAGTCACGGGGGAAGTGGGATTGGAAGTGACCTTCTCCCTCTTCCAGCTTTCTAGGATTTATAACATGTGTCCATCCTTTAAACACGTGTCGGGAAGCGACCTCAGTAGGACATGTGTCTGAGCAAGAAGAATCCCAGGATTCCCTGGTTTGCCTCCAGGTGACAGGGCGAGGGGCTGTTCATCTTGCATGACTGGGCAGCAGCTCTGCCTTTGTTTCATGGGTGGTCAGCGGGGTGGCTGAAAGGCTCACGTGTTCCCCTAGCCCGGAGGACCCGAGGAGCCTGACCGTCACCGTCTCTCCGTAGCCTGGCCAGCAGCCCAGCAGTGGACAGAGGCCCTGCAAGCCACTGAGGAGGATGGAACCCCAGGCACCGAGGTGGAGCCGTGGTGTGGGGTACAGGTGCTGCCCACAGCCCCACCCTTGGGGCACCCCCACCCTTGGGACACCCCCACCCTTGGGGCACCCCCACCCTTGGGGCACCCCCACCCCTGCACTCTCAGTGCTTGCCTTGGGCATCTGCTTTTCAAACTCCACGGAAAATATTGTG